GCACACTAGTTATTCCATCGGCGATTCTGAAACCCTCCCATAAGCTTACACACATGAGTTTTCAATATGGGAGGCCCCATTAGACAGAGGTGATGGGAGGGAGGAAGGACATGCAGGAATCCAGGCAGCAGTCAGGAGCCTTTGGCTTGCATTTCAGTGAAACATTGTTTGGCTGACTGGAAATATTAATCTGTTACTGCAGAAATTGTTAAAGAGATTTTTGTCATGACCCCCTAAATCCTGAAATAAATGAGAGATTTACTTTGGATGGCAGTAAGGTTCTACCTTCTGAGTAGAATCCAAGCAGCTTTTAATGAAAACAACAAACCAAAACCCCCAAAACTCAATTGAGAGCTCCTAGTGGGGGGTGGGTAGGGAAGAACTCAGTTTCTTTAAGGAGCTGGCTACTGGGAGTTTGACAGAGTAGTCGGGCAACACAAATTAGATGTGTGTGTGTGTGTGTGTGTGTGTGTGTGTGTGTGTGTGTGTTCTTCATCATTTTTCAAGAGGCAGGAAGTTACAGGAGGCAGGCAGACCTGGGAGGAATGGGAAGTGAATGTGATCAGGGTGCATAATGTGAAATACCCAAATAATCAATAAAAAATGTTGGAAAAAGTACTTTGTGTGTTTGATATTTGTGTGCATGAGCACATAGGTTCTAGTGTGTGACCACAAGTGCACACATGCCACAGTTCACATATAGAGGTCATTGAACAATCCCAGTGGTCTGTCCTTGCCTTCTACCTTCTTAAACACAGATTTTCTTTTGTATTTTGTTGCTGGTAAGCAGGTTTCTTGGGCTTCTGTCTCCACATGCTGAAGTTATAGGCACAGGCTACCAAGTGCAATTTTACTTGGACTCTGATAAACCTAGGTTTTCATGCTTGTGTGGCAAGTGCTTGACTTCATGAACCAACTCCCAAAAACAACCCCATAATTTAGTCCATGAAAAATACAGGGGAAAATCTGGCTTTGAGAAAATTGCTGTTCATCAGCTAGAGATATTGTTTTCATTTGGGAGATGATTACTAAGATGTAGATTAAAACCAGAGTCAAAAGTAACTACAGAGGTTTGTTCTTTGTACTAAGGGTGTCATTATATTTGGGTAGGGACTAATTCAAGCGTTCCAGACCAGAGGTTCTCAACCTGTGGGTCACGACTCATTTGACAATTTTCTGTCTCCAAAAATATTTACAGCACAATTCAAAACAGTAGCCAGATTACAGTTATGAATTAACCATGAAATAAGGGTATGGCTGGGGGAAACTATATTTAAGTGTCTCAGCATTAACAAGGTTGAGAACCACTGCTCTAGACACATGCACATAGGAACAAAAATGTCTACATAAGCATCTAGTGGCATTGATTTAGATGTATCTCAGTTATGCTGTGTTCTAGAAATTCACAGATAATACACAGACTTAGCAGAGAAACTGCATAAGACATCTTCCTGAGTCTTTCTCTGAATGCCACACACAGTCTTGCCTATTGTTTTTAAATCTAGTTTGGCATTATTGTTTTTCTTTCAATGTACAAAGAGAAAATATGCTCATGTGCATATCCAACCACAACATGATATCAGGGAAGGGTTACTGAACTAGGGATAAGTTTGTTAATCCCATGTGTAGGACTTTTTGATTCTCTGTGAGCCTGTGCTTTACCACTCAGTTACCTTTAAGACTGAAGACCCATGTTTTCAATTGCCTTAAATGACTCTGCATTCTTCTTTGAATTCAGCAGGTTCATCAAGTCCTTAGGAAAATGAACTTGCTCTCAAGATGGGTGGATACTGAGCATCAAGTCTGAGAGAGCATGTTTCACTGTGTGTATATTTTATACAATAATATTCACAATGTATCAAAGAAACCATAGTTGTATTAGATAGCTTCAAGAGGTGTGATGAAGTTTAAATATGTTCATACAAAAAAATGCAACTAGGCTATTGGAAATGGCCACCCACCTTCCATGCTTGAGGATTCCACTATAGGCATTTGCCCTTTAGTCCAAGTGTTCAGAACCACAGTAAAAGTATCACCCATTACAGACAACATCACTGATTTCTGAGAAATAACTGCCACTTCCTCACACAACCAGAGCACAATGACAATCTACCATGAGCGGCCCATCCAGTCACAAATCTAAAGCATTAGTCAAAGCACATATTTATGAATGGGCTATCATCCAACATAGTGAGAAAATAGGGAAATGTGCAATAAGGGTACACATGGGGTGCCTCATACTTCAGTTAGTAAGTCTCTAAGGACAAGAAGTTGTCTCATATTCCAAACATTCTATCACAGTGGCCACACAGTCACAGGACAAAGGTATCTTTGAAAGCTTTTCTGTGCAGTAGATGGCAGTTATTTCAGTGACAACTGGTCACAGTGCAGAGAACTAGCATCTGTGAAGTATTTAACCACAGTGGGTCTCTAGATCATGACTCCTGATCCCCAAACTCAGGAAGCATCATGGAGGAGCGGGTAGAAAGACAGGCAAATGGAGAGGAATGCTGTGAAATCATGTTTGTTCAATACTCCATGGTCACTACATTCATGAACTCACAACAGCTGTGACTACATGCACACAATCAATCCAGTCAACAATTCAGCAGGGATGAGGGAGGGGAGCTGAGGAGCTATTGGAAGCTGATGGATACTCTGGGAGGGAGTCGTTATTTTCAGGTAAGTGGCTCTTTATAAATTGGCCATTTTCCATTGGATGACCCCAAACTTGTGTATATGCAGGCAACACAAATCTGACTCAAAGGACTGTTAAAAAACAAAAGACATGAAATTTGATGGGGGGATGTGGGAAGGAGTTAAAAGTAGAATAGCACGGATATAATGAAAATATGTATTCATGCAATTCTCAAGAATATAAAATATTAAATGTATCTGTGAATACGTGCTCATGGTATTTAGCTTTGTGAACAAATAGATTTAGTTTTCAGTTTAAGCAGTGATACAACATTTCCTTAAAACTATACATTTTGAAAAAAATCAATTTTCAAAAAAAGGAAAAAATCAATTTTCACCTGGAAAGTGTTATCAAAGAGTAAAACTATGTGAAAGTGCTAGATTTATGGTTAAGTGTCACTAAAAACTACTGAAAGCATGTCCTAACAGCCTGATGCTACACCTTGCTACCAGTCAGCTACTGACCTTTTGATAGTTCACGATTGTGCAAGCTTGCCTGAGTGTGTGATACCAAGTGAAAACATTATCACTTGGGAAGGATGAGTTCACTCACAATAAAAGCCTGAATTCTTCTATACATGACAGAATAAAATTAACAGAAAGGAAACGTTTCCTGAAAAGAAAAACGAGAGTCAAAAACTAGCTCACCTGGTAATTGCTATAAAACCTTACTCACAAACACATTTATCAATGTCTGTGGCAATTGAACAAACACAAAGATCAGACAGACACAATTAAGTATGCATACTGGATTCTCTTGCCTGTAGATCCTAGGTGATGTCTGAGGAAACAGTGTCCAAGTTATTAGTATTTCTATCTTAAAAAGGAAAAACTGTTTAATAAGGCCCTATGTTTTGACTATAGGCTCTGTATCTTATATTTTAATGGAGACTGATTCTCAAATGAGGGATCAGCCTAGTAAAATGTTAATGCATCCATAGAGACTCTGAAGCATCGTTATTTAGTGTGGTGATATGAAAGTAGGCAACTGAGCTTTAAAAATGCATGCTTTCCTTGCAAGCAAGAGGAAGGCAACAAAAACAGCAACCTGGTCGCCTGCCTCCCCAGCTGAGGCCCTGCACATGCAGGGTGATTCACAGATCTCTAAGACTGTTCTGTTTATATCACAAAGCTGTCATTCCCAAGCAGAAAAGCTATTATTACCTGGATTTGTTTATATCAAGTAAATGTTAACCTGAAATTAGGTAAAAATCTGAAATGATCCACAAAGTTTAAGATAAAATTACAATAAAGTTTTCTTTATACATGTTGCAGATTCTTAACCAGGCCTGCTGTATTAATACATTTCCGTTGTAAGTTGAACTGAAGAAAATTCCACATTGAAAAGTTTCCTATGGGTCATTTCAGATGAGTTTGGTGTTCCTTGATCTTACCTGATGCATAAGTTAAGATGCTTCTTTCTACAAGGCAAGCAACCTGATTCTTTTAAGAGGTTCAGAGATGTGAATAAAGCATGCTTTCCTTAGGTAGGGCCCAAAAGAACTTTGGAAGAAGTACTTTTCTGAGCCAAAGCTTTCTAGGAGTGTACATGTAGTTAAATTTTATTTGTTTTAAAGAAGAAGTTTGGCCCTTAGCAAATATCACAAACTGTTTTTAAGACACTGAACTCTTGCAAAGAGAGTTAGCAAAGCAGATTCTGAGTACAAAGCTTTAAACTCAGTCTTACAGAGCTTCTGTTGGCCCTCAAGGACATTGATGATTTAAACTGGGGCCCTTATCTTGCTCTAACCCAGTGGGAAATGTCAGTCACTGTTAAGCTGGGATACTGTAGTGAGGTAATTTTTGTGGGGTTTTGGGGATTAAACCCAGGACCCCAGTACCCCAGGACCCAAGGCACTCCTCCTTCCAACTGAACTCTATCTACAATTCCCAAGACAGAGCTTTCAATCTCATCAATTTGGTCCCTAATCCAGACTTGTGGAAAACCCATGCTGAACTAATCTGAAAAACCTTCTAGAACCAATAGGATGATGGTTTCTTTCTACATTGTGATATATGGAAGGTCCTGGAAGGGCACATTTTTATTCTGTTCTACTGAAATGAAGTGCATACAGGAAACAAAAATGGCTACCCTTTTCCATGGGAGCTGATCACTCTGTAAAGACAGGCTCTGTTCACCTAGCCTTCAGTAGTATATTATCATTTTTACTGCTCTGCACATATCCATACCCTACAGCCTCATTCCTGGCCAGACACATGCCATACGTCCCTGGACATTTTCTCTGACTCAGGTTCAGAAAATGTTCTTATAGGACAAGATGAGAAGGAAAAGGGGTCTTTACCCTGATGAAGAGGATCTTCTCTCCCACCCGATATCGACCTTGAGAGAGCCGCTCCACACAGAACTTAGTTGGGCACTTGCAGGGAGGATCTTCAGAGATTCTTTTTACCTGAAATAGAGTAGCACATTCATTGTCCCCAATAAAATTGCATGTGATAGCCGGGCGTTGGTGGCACACACCTTTAATCCCAGCACTCGGGAGGCAGAGGCAGGCAGATCTCTGTGAGTTCCAAGCCAGCCTGGTCTTTGGAGCGAGTGCCAGGATAGGCTCCAAAGCTACACAGAGAAACCCTGTCACGAAAAAAAAAAGAAAAAAATCGCATGTGATTACTCTCCCAGAGTTCAAACATGGCAGAACTGTTGATCACTTAAGACTTGTTCTGTATCAGAAACTATATGAGCATAGAGACTGTGGTGGTTTGAACAGGAATGACCCATAGACTCAAGTGTTTGAATGCCTGGAACATAGGGAATGGCACAATTAGGAGGGGTGATCTTGTTGGAGTAGGTGTGACCTTGTTGGAGGAAGTGTGTCACTGTGGGGATGGGCTTTGAGGTCTCATGCTCAAGCTAGGCCTTTCGGCTGCCTGCAATTCAAGATGTAGAACTCTCAGCTCCTTCTCTAGCACCATGTTTGCCTGCACACCACCATGTCCTGTGATGATGATAATGGACTAAACCTCTGACCTGTAAGCCAGCCCTAATTAAATGTTTTCCTTTATAAGAATTGCTTCAGTCACGATGTCTCTTGGCAGCAATAAAACCCTAACTAAGACAGGGACCCTGGATGAAGTATGAAGACCAGAGTCTGGAAGCATCTTCTTACAGCTGATGATGACACTGATGATAAGGAAGGATAGCAGATGAGATCATCTGGCATGGCAGCAGCCATGAGCTGTGTGTGCGATCCACACAACAAAGGTATTGGAAGATAAAATAAAGTATGCATAGGCTAACCATACTGAAGGCTAGGGCAAATGCACATGACACAGAATGTTTCTTCCATATAATCCCACTACACTAATCTGTTTAAGTTTAAAATAAATGAAGAACTATTTTTTTTTGAAACTCTTTGGTTTTGCTTGAAATGCTAAGATTTTCTCCTGAAATTTCACCATCAGATCACTCAGATTCATCTGCATTTCACCCCATCTTAGGTATCAGATGTTGTCTTAGCTGACATTTAAAATGAGCAATTAAAACATGAATCTGATTAATATTCTTTTGGAGTTCTCATGAACAGGCATAAATACTGTAAATATTAAGACTATCTCCAGAAAATTCATTTGTTTTCATAATCCATGAAACTCCTAGAATACTTTTAAATGAGAAAGTTTTTTTAGACAATCCAGAGTAACCCAAATATCTCATATGTTCAATGTCAAATATTTTACTATTAATTGCCTTGAACTATAATCAGCTGTTAGTAGCTACCATGTTGTAAATATGAGATTAACAGATATGAAAGTTAGGATACTTATAGTTGACCTTGAAGAAATCCAGCCATTGTTCACTCATTTACTTACTCATTTACTCTGTGTTTATATGTATGTCAGTGTATGGTATGTACACACATGTGTTTGTGGTGTGTGTGTGTAGGAGGACACTAGGTGATCTCTTCTATCTCTATCTGCCTTATTGCCTCGAGACTGAGTTTCTCACTGAACCCAGAGCTAGTGACCAGCAAGTGCCAGAATCTTCTTGTCTTCACTCCGTAGCACTCCACAGCACTGAGGTTACAGGACAGGTGTGATGCTCTTGTGTTTTTGAGGGCACTCTCAACTGTAGGTCATCACTCAAGACCTCCAACATCGTTTTTAATGACATAATGACTGGAATTAAATCACTCGTCTACCAAGCAAAAACCATAGGGGAAGTAATTTATGAACTCCCTTAATTTTTGTTATAAAAGAATTATATAATGGTTGTGTTAGCATATGGAAGGGTCAAGACGTATAAAAGCAATAGATACCAGAGTAAAAACCAGGAATGGTGGAGAAATGCAAGGAAATTTTTTTTCTTAAGAACAACCAAACTGTGCCTCAATGATGCAAACAAAATAACACTATTTTATTTTGAAAGCATGAACTCACTACACACATGCCCATCAGTCTCTTCTCCCATCCTAAAATTTTCCAATAACACAAACCTAAGATTCTGGGCCATTACTGTGATGGGAGCCTAGCAAATCAACATTGGTCAACCTTAGCATCTCCTTGATGGGTTTAGTTCCTGAAAGGCTAAGATAATATTTTATTTCTTCTAAACCCTAGATATAAAGCATAACACTCTAATGGAACAGAAGAATTTAACAGGTAGACATTGGACACATACATAATCATAATAACAATGGAATGGATCTTCACAGGAGACACGGGGAAATCACTGGAGAAGAGAAGGCCTGAATCCAGAGAGAAATCACTGGAGAAGAGGATGCCTGGATCCAGAGAGAGATCACTGGGGCAGAGGAGGCCTGGATCCAGATAGCCTTAAAGGCAACTTTCACTGAAGAATGAGGTAACATCTATTGTCCAGTTAGTAATCAGGCCAGGGATTTCAAATCTGAGTTTTTGCCATCTTGTAATGGTAATGCTAAAGCAAATGGCAGAAATGATGTGAAATAGTAAAGTAATCTCTTACAAAACAGACTCGAATTCTGGAACTAGCTATGAGGCCAAGGATCTAGAATGCACCTCTGGACTATTTTCAGTGTTTTTCTGCACATGTCTCTTCCTACAGATGTTTGTAAAACGTCACATATACATAAGGAAGAAAAGACTGAGGGTGACATGAAGGAGGTAGGAGATGGTGATGAGACCTTTGTTACCTAGGAGACCAGAGAGCAACAAATTTCACCACCCAAGGCACCACAACTTACTGAGCAAATTCTCTACTAACTAAGGAAAATCCTGAGTCTGTGTGGGCAATACCTCCATCTTGCAGGACCCTCAGGAAAAAAAACAAACAAACAAAAAACCCAAAAAACAGATCTTATTAGTGGCAAATTAGCACAAGAAACATTTTCTCTTATTTTTTGGTTGTAAGACTAGCTTTTAATGGCCAAGGCATCTCTCCAGCTCAAGAAACATTTTCTCAAGTGGCCTGCCCTTTCTTCATGCCTTCCTTACTACAAAAATAGACTTGTTTGTTTGTTTGTAAATCAAAGGCTTTTTTTTTTCTTGTTTTACATTGTGTCAGCGGCAGATGCAAAAACAGAGGAGAAAAGGCCAGACCAGGGGCAGTGGAAACAAGTTGTTAAGTTAAGGGTGTATAATGACAGCCTGGCTTCTTATGTTACCAGGAGGTAACTCTGTCTGCCAGGTGTTATGCTCTTGGCCCAGAACCCAGCCAGTTTGGGGCTGAAATGAGATTTCAAGAGGGGCCTGATTATTCAGAATTACACTATCTTTTATCCCCAGACTGAGGAAGTTGATGAAGAGAAGGGAGACAGTAAGAGTCATTTCTTAGAACTACATTCAACTCCCTGTGAGAGCAAGCTCAACACAAGTGAAGGCAAAGAGGTGCACTCGGGCCGAAATCATCGCCTATCATGGCTGGATCACTGCATCAGGACATAGGGAATAAAGTGATCGGAATGGACACCACTTTGTTTCCTCTGCGAGATCTTGATTAAGGAAGGGGGGCTGTATTGTCCACATAAAAGGTCGTCTATTTCCCTGCAGTTCCCCTAAGAATCAGACAAGAAAATGTGAACAAACAAAGGTGGCTTCAGTCCTGGCTCTTTCTGAAGTCCTCGGCTGAAATATGATCATCTTGGCCTGGGCTTCCCTTTCTTTCTCAGTCTTCTCTATTTCTGTTTCCTTTGCTTCCTTCCTTTACTCTTCCATACCCTCATCTTTCTTTCCTTTTGGGAGTAGCATACGATAACTTTGTACAAAACAACCCAGTGCTAATTACACACGGGAATTTAGAGAATCATCTTTTTTTAAAAAATTCCTTTTCTTGGTACATTTATTGAGTTACATTAAGTTCAGTTCCAAATGGCTACACGCACCCAGTGTATGGTAAAGTGTTTGTAATGGTAACTATTTCCTTTTTACCTTAGATAAAAGGGGGCTGATTTAAACCATTGATGAGATTCAAATTACTTTTCCTTCTGTCCCACTCTCTCTGAGATAAAATACTTCAGTGAAAAACCATCACTTCACATAATGCAAAAAATTCAATGTAGTTTTCAAGACTGTAAAATGGATAAAACTGTAAAAAACAGGTTTATGTTCTAGTATATTGGAGAAATTCCGGGTAAACTAGATCTTTTAAGGGAGCTCAGCAGAGCCAGTGTGATGTTGGCAGGCTCTCTGAATGCCAGGCAGAGACAGCAATACTCTGCCTTTCTTATACTAACCTTATCATTCCCCACAGGGCACTGGAGTGGTAGTATTTCTTTGAGCATTCCTTGAAAAATGCTAGTTTTAAGATTCACGGGAAACAAGAGTTCTCACTGGTAAGAAGCAGATGTGTGCACTTAGCACACTAAATGTGTATACTAATGTATATCCCCCATTAAACCAATAGTTGTATCCTCAAGGTTCACCTGAAGTGCCCACATAGCTTTCAGCTGGAAGAACAGACATCAGAACCACAGCTTGAGATTCCTGCTGTCTTAGGTCTCTATTCCACTGGTCTTTTGTTATGAGTAAGAATATTGATGAAACGGTCTCTAATCCCTCTCAGAGTTATTCTGTACCCTGGGGGTTCTCTTCACATTTCTCCCTTTCCCAAAGATGAAGAATGGCTAGCCATGAGACAAGGTGGTAAGGAAATGGGAGCATTCTTGTTCCTTCCCCATGGTTCTGATACATGATCTCAAACGGCAGCACCTATTCCATCTACAACACAGGAGCACAAATGGCACGTGTTTCAGAAGACACGATCAAATATAGAGAGGAACTTCACACTGAGCATCTACACCAGGGAGCTGGGTAGATGTAGACTACTAAGGCACCATACCTGACTGTGAAAATTAGACTATATCTTGAGAGGAATGGAAACTTAGGTCTCATTAACAACTGCTTCAATGCATACTTACAAATACTTTAGACAACAATAAGTAAGCTGAAACATTGGTGAGAAATGCCAAGAAAAACTTTCATGTGTGGGCTGAGGAAATGGCTCTGTGGGTAAAATACTTGCCATGCAGATATGAAAACCTGAATTTGGATCCTTAACAGTCATGTCAAAAAATGCCAGCACATGTCTGTAACTGGATGGGAATGGAGACAGGAAGATCCTTATAGCTCTCTGGCCAGCTAGATGGCCTAAAACAGTGAGCTCCAGGTTTAGTGAGAGGCCCTGTATAATAATTTTAAAAAGGTAAAGAGCTAAAAAGAAGAATTCCACTGTAGGCCTCTAACCTCTGCTTACATGAACACTCATGTATATACAGGCATCCCCCAAAGTTACACATACACACAACCTTTTATGGAAGGTAGCAAAAACTAAAGATTAAAATATGCATTTAAAAGAAAAGTATCAAGAAATATGTTGAAGAACTAACAACTTCTACCTCAATGTGAAAGAGGTGCTTCAAAGGGCAAAAGAGTTGGGAAACACACTGGGCCATACCAAGGAGACTGACACATGAATTGTCAGTTGGGCAGGGCTTCCTGCAATAATTCTAACAGTCAAACTTGCACTCTGTCATAGCATGGTGGTTGCAGGGATACTGGAATAGAGGAATTTCAAGAATCTAGTGATGCAAGAAAGCTGCAATAATAGTAGTCATGAACCCCATAATGAGAATTGAGAGGTCCCCGTGGCTGAATAATTAGTAAGGAAAGATAACACTAGCCAGATACTTTTCAGGCCTGACACCATGGTATAGGGAGAAAAGAATGTAAGTAGATGTCATGGCTGAGAGGGGAAGGAGTATAAGAATGGGTATGGCAGCCCAAAGATATATTTGTAAGAAGACAGAATTCATGCTAAGTCTAAAGAAAAAGCATAATACACTATGGGAAAATGACTCTGAACATAAACAGCATGCCTTTTATTATTATACAATATCATCCAATTACTGCACAAACTTTGAAAATGAAGCTTTATGACAAGCAAGGCATGTGACTGATCCTAAAAGGATCCCAAAACACCTTTCCATGGTATGAAAGCTCCCTTACTATTTGTACATTCTGAGTGGAATGAGTGGCTATCAAAAAAGAAATCAGATTAAAATGTACTGTATGAGATAACCTTGGTGGGCCAAGTTTAAGTTTGCTGCCTTTATGGGGACTCACAACGGCTCAGGCAGTTGTTAGGTTTCTGCTTTTTTAAAGTTGTCATGTGGAGAAAAGCAAAAGATGGTGAATGTTTTCTCCTGCATCTGAAAGCACCCACCAGCCAACCTCCCCCTCTCCCTCAGCTCAAACCCTCCAGAGGGAGGCCTGCAGTTCTGTCAGCCTGCATCCTATCAACAGCCAGCATCAAGATTGCTGGCCAGTTTTCCAAGGACTTTGCTCAAGACATACTTCAGTCTTAGGCCTCTCGCACCCTTGTGTCCTATAAGTTTGCTGGCTATTATAACCTATAAATGCAAACTTAATATAAGCAACATCAAGACAACTCATGGTTTCTTTTGTTTATTAATGCCTTCCTGAATTAAAGATACAAGCATGATAGCACAGGTAAATAATTGTCCAACACACCATTTCCATGAGCAAGGATTTTTTAAATATACCTAGAAACTGCTTCTCTATACAATGAGGATGTCACTGAAGTATGCTCTAATAATCACTAATAATAATCACTGTGCCTAGAGGACTGCAGAGTAGATAAGCCCCAGAGTTAGACAAACACCCGATGGAACCTGAGCTCCTATCCTCTTAGCATCACGAAACTTCCAATTTCCGCTCCCTCTACAAGCAACCTTCCTTTCAGATATAAGAGCTCTCAAGAAGAAATGGTCGACTCTGGCCAATACCAGGCAATCAATAAAGTACAGTCATCTTTCTGTAAGATTCTGTGTCCCCTTCCTCAACAATCCTCAAGATTCTGTGCTTCAAATTTATATCCATGAAAGGAGGACTTGGGAATGAATAACAAGGTTTAAGTGTCTTCAGAAACTCATTTCCTAGGGTTTCAGATACTGTTTAATGGAATTAAGTGGCACTTTATTTTAAATCACTGGTTCGGCTTGAGTTTCAGGATGAGCTCTAGGAGCACAGATATTCTCATTGGAGTTAAAATGAATTCAAAGCAGCTGAAATGCAGTAAGGTCAGACTGATCTGAGAAGGCAGAGGAGGTTTGTAGTTGGGAAAAAAACAAAAACAAATCTCTGTTAAGACTTATAAACTTCACTCACTGCATCGTCCAGTAGGTTCCCAGTACTCTTCTTTCCTGAAGACTTGGATGAAGGAGAAGGCGAAGGAGACGGGGCAGAAAGTGTCTCTTCTTGTTCAATTTCTTTTTCCAGCTTTATCAGACCAGGAGGCTCCACACCATACCTTCCAAAAACATGAACTGCTATCATGCACACAATACAACAATGTAATAGCTACACAATATTCTGGATTGTGAGACCACTGCCCTTTTACAATGCCATGGACTCTGACACTGAATTGGAACTAGTATTTGTGAATTAGCATCCTTAGAGCAGGAAAAAAAAAAACACATGTAACTGCTGTGAACATGCATGGAGGTACATGATGTAAACATACTCAGTTTAGCATATTACTGTCTCAGCAACATGAACATCCACAGGGAATTTATCTTGAACTTGTTTTTTTCATCATGAAATTCATTTATTTTTTGTTTGTTTGGGTTTTTAGTGATTTATTTTTATGTGCATTGGTGTTCTGTCTATGTATGTGTCTGTGTGAGAGTGTTAGATCCTTTGGAACTGGAGTTACAGACAGTTGTGAGCTGCTGTGTGGGTGCTAGGAATTGAACCTGGGTCCTCTGTAAGAGCAGCTGGTGCTCTTAACCGCAAAAATTGGTTCTTTGAGAAAATCAACAAAATAGACAAACCGTTATCCAAATTAACCAAAAGGCAGAGAGAGATCATGCAAATTAACAAAATCAGAAATGAAAATTAACAACGGATACTGAAGAAATCCAGAGAATCTTCAGGTCATACTTTGAAAACCTGTACTCCACAAAGTTGGAAAATTTAAAAGAAATGGACAATTTTCTGGACAGTTATCACTTACCAAAATTGAATCAAGAACAGATAAGCAACTTAAACAGACCTATAACCTCTAAGGAAATAGAAGCAGTTGTCAAAAGTCTCCCAACCAAAAAACGCCTGGGGCCAGATGGATTCACTGCAGAATTGTACCAGAAATTCAAAGAAGTGCTAACACCAATACTCCTCAAATTATTCCACAAAATAGAAGCAGAAGGGACATTGCCAAACTCTTTTTACGAGGCTACAATAACCTTGATACCCAAGCCACACAAAGACACAACTAAGAAAGATTAACTACAGACCAATATCCCTCATGAACATTGATGCAAAAATTCTCAATAAAATCCTAGCAAATCGAATACAAGATCATATCAGAGAAATCATCCACCATGATCAAGTAGGCTTCATCCCAGGGATGCAAGGATGGTTCAACATATGAAAATCCATCAATGTAATCAACCATATAAACAGACTGAGGAAAAAAAAATGATCATCTCACTAGATGCCGAAAAAGCCTTTGACAAAATCCAACACCCCTTCATGATAAAGGGCTTGGAGAAATCAGGGATAACAGGA